ATTCTGATGGGGAATGCTGCGTCAAATATCGTTTTATTGTCCACAGACGAAAACTATTTATCATCATCTTGTACGGTAATTAAATTAGACGCCAGATTTGAATTCACGGGAATAATTTAAATCTAACGTTTTTTTTCTAGTCATTCAAACAAATAATTTGTTACTGGACTATTTAATTTTTATTTGTATATGCAAACCAGTGTCTTTAATCAACATATTGTGAAGAATATATTTATTTGCATACGTAATATTTCAGTTTTGTTTTGAGAAAAAATTGTTAAAAGGCGACCAGAATTATTTTGTAAACCATTAAGCTATCTTATGCTTTGATTTTATTTTATTTAGAAAAAAAGATCATTTAAATGTCTGTGAATATATATACACATTAATACAACAGTTGGTTATTCTATATGAAACTAATAAACGATCAAGATAATAATTTGTTAATTACAGTAAACCATTAAAATAATTTTGAAAATATGAACATTCATTCATACTGTTAAAATGTTTGGAGACTTAAAATTTGGATTGAAATAGGTGATTCTTATTTAAGCATTTGTTTTGGGATGTTGATTATTGAATTGTACGCGTAACTATTTAACTCGTACACAAAGATTAGTTCAAAATCATTAAGTAAATCCTTCAATCGTATTTTACTTGTACATAAATGCATATTGTCGACATTTTTAACATTATGCAAAAAATGTAAAACAAATTCGTTGGAATGTTGATCAACTGCTTTCACAATTATCTGTGACGAAAAAAAATTAAACAAATTGTAATACTCTTTGAAATTATGACTTTTATTCTACCACAATACTTCATTTGTTTTAATTTCAGGAACAAATTTACATATATCTTACATAAATTTTTAGTTGAAGATTAGTTCTAAAAATAGTTCTATTCTGAGTTGTTATTACAAAAACACTTTTGGACAATGCAACGTTATTAATCGTTATGATATTATACCAGAGATATACGTATGTTTATATACATACGTATATATACCGTAATGAAGTATATCTTGCCGCTGATAAAATGGCGCTAAAAATTTGTAGTTTACGAAATATGTTGATACTTAAAATAAATAATGAGTAATTAAAAAATGATTATATTTTCAATATTGAATATAAATTTAAATAGCTAGTCTTTCCTGAGTAAAGCATGTATGATTTATGTGAAACATTTGGTAATTTGAGTTTTTGTTTTTAATTGGTTTTAAGACGTTGGATTAGTATATGAAATTACTGGAAACTGACGCTGACTAACATAACATGAAATAGATTTAAAACCATTTTTACTGTATTGCTTTGGTAGATTTCCTATTAGTACTATCTTAGGAAGTGTAAAGCTTTTAATTAGCTATTCATAGCAAGAAGATAGTTGTGTTGCATAACAGTTTAACAGATTTAAAAGAATGTACCAGTGAATATCAGTCGAATTGTCTCTACGATAAGATACTAAAGTAATGTCAACACCGGCTTTGACAAAAAAATTTTCGAGTGATTTTAAATTGATAAAGATACTTTCCCCAATGCCATTACTTACATACATGGTTTTTTTACCGGTTATCATGCTTCCAAGTTGTTGAATGTATTCACACTACTGTTGTTATACCATGTTTTGACTGATGTAAATTGGTAAATTCTATTCTTCAGCATAATGTTCTATTCCATAATTTTGTCTTATTTTATGAGTTCATGTATTAAAAAATGCAGTCAAATATGATCCGCTATATTAATGATTCTCCTCTGAGGATTAATAAAAATTTAAGTTGAGTAATAATGTTGCTTAGTTTCAATTAATTCATTATATTGAGCATAAAACTGAAAAACGCTCTGGAACAGATGACAAGTTTACTACCAATATTACCTTTAAGATAAATGAATGGTAAACTTTGAAATCATCGTAAATCTTCGTCAAGAATTGACATTATTGTCCTAAAATAAACGCTTTGTCGTAGTGGTAATTATAAGCATACTTTTAATCATCCATGACCCAGCATCCAAGAGTTGAATCAAAGACGTTAGGGCTAGCAAATGAACTCCTGGTCTGAGAACCAATGACTCATGTTTCGAAACTGTACAATTTTAACTTGTTCTTGAACTCAGGGAAATTCAACAATCATCACAGTACTAATACTGATCGTATATTTACCAGCCAACAGCTGCTACAAGAAAGAATTTTAAAAGCGTCAACATTCAACATGAAAAACTATCTTCCCAAGCTCTTATTGTATTTATTCTTGGTAACTTTTTTATTATAATAATTTTACGTTTTTTGAGTAAACAACTTTGAAACACTGATCTGTCACTATTTCTTAAAAAAATAATGATGTTAAAATAATCAGTCATCCTATCTATAAATACAAACTAGAATAGAAATCCCAATATGTAACCAATTAGAAACTTACTCCATCAACTAATATCTTTCGTCCAATCTTCTTAATCTTGAGCCTGTATAACTGGCTCAGTGTTTTAAAGATTAAGCATTCTCGCACCAGACTTGAGTTCGATTCTTGGATGCGGAGTGGTGAATGAGCCTCTCTGAGAAATTTCACGCTGTACCTAAAATCCTTTTTAGGGTCTGCACCTATTCAGTAGTGGTCTGTCTAAGATCTGTTAGTGTAATCTCTCCAAAACTCCATAGATCCTTATACTAGTTATTGATGATTGTTACTGATTACTATCATTACTAAATGTAAAGGAGTTCTATCTGTCGTTAACGTACCTTTATTCTTGTTCTTTTTCATCTTGAAGTGCTTTCACGAACATTTCTATTTACACTCTGCCGGTACATAACATACCTGACGGCTAGACGCAAACATACCAAAAACTGACTGTTACAAATGCAATAAATTCACTATCTTTCCCTGCTTCTGCATCATCTTATTAGTACATTTATAATAAATAGGTCGTGTTCCATGTAACTGAATAAATAAATGACCTATAATGGTTTCATGATAAAACATGGTATAGAAGCACCAAAACACCAACTTAAAAAAACATTAATGTTCGTCATTTTCATATATTCTTTCTCTTTTTCTCAGTTTGGTGCTCACTAAATACATGACTAAATCAAAAACAGTATTTTAGTCAGTTAAATATTCAGCTTTATAGATGAGCAATAAATGATCATTCATAAATTATGAAGCAAAGCAAAATGAATGACAAATAATCAATACTATATTCAAGTATCGAACATTCACTGACTAGTTGAACAGTATTAATTATTTGTACTTTAGCATGTGTAAACTGATTCATAGATATGATAATCTTAATAACAAGTATTCAAGAGAATATAATAATGCAAAAAAGTTCTTATCAAAAAATCAAAATTTTAAATAGACTAGTTTTCAAACGTCCTCCAGCTGATAAATATTGCAACGTTTGAGTAACCTTAAAAATAATCTAACTTATACTTAAAAATTCTATTGTCAGACAATATTTCAGCTTACACTTTCAATGGATTCATTTTAGTTTTACTTAATTGTGACATATGATGCTGACTGGATCCTAGACCAGAGAAAAAAACTCATTGATTTATGGTTTTGAAAAGTTTTAAATTATAACAAACTGCATGTAATTTCCGAAATAGAACATTTAACTCTCAACAAGTGAGATATATAATGAATTTTTACTGAAGAATTGAATGTCCTTACTTCAGTTCTGTTCGATAAGATTGCTCATTGCCATTCATTAGTGATTCTTTTTCAGTGACACGGATTTCAGTTATTTTCTTACTTGTTTCAGTCAGTTTGCCTGAAAATCAATGTAAAGCAAAGAACAGAGGATTTATATATTTCATTCTACTTCTGGACTAAAGGACTCTGAGAATAATCTAGCCTAGTACTCTAAGTTTCATGTCATGGATGATATGGCATAGTGAGCTACTAAATAATAAACAGATCAGATCTTTATCTTATTATCAGTATTCAGATAACATTAAGATAAACTTATTCTTAACTTATGTGATACTTGTAGTATTTCAAAAGGATGTTTTCGACGTAAATTTCAAATGGTCGAATGTTATTCTTGTCACGACAGTGCTAAAATATTAAACTATCACTCCTCCACCGATACATGGTTTCCAGCTGATCTAAGTTTTGAGTAATAAGTGCATAAAAATTTTAAAAAGTCTAGATGATACAAACTTTTATATCATAAAACAAAAGGTTAGTAAGATTATTCCTTAAAACACCGTAAATGTCATAATGTTTTGGTCTTTAGAGTATTTTCCCGAATTACGATAAAACCAATTGAATATATTCCGTGAACATTTCTAGTATTTCAAGATTAAAATCGTCAAAATACATCACAATGACCTTCACACGTGTCATTTATTGGTTACATGGAATAGGCTTATCATAAACAAGTGTTTACAGTTGAATGAATTTTATTGGTTCTCATGTTTCTTTGCTGTCACGTGAGATATGTAATCATAGTAGTCAGTTTAACTATTGATCAAAAAGAGATTGTAAATGGAAAGTATATAAATATGCAAAAATACAGTTTAGTTGAACTTCATGAGAATATCTACGAATTTTTGAGTAGACCCATTAATATATTTTACTAGAATGGAAAATGAAGAGATATTTTAATTACCAAATGTAAGAAAATAAGGATAATGCACTGACATTTCCTTTCTCTCTGGAATAAAATAACTCACGATGAGATTATCACATAATCATGCCCAATTTGTTTGGATCACTAATCTAACTAGCTGTTTCTTCCTTCATAAAAGAAGATCGTACAAAAGTATACAATTTTCACAAATTTATTATGGAGGACTTATTCTTTTCAAAATACCAGTGTATTAATTGTTTCTATATGAAAACATCTAATCATCAGTCAAAAATATTACACATTGATGTAAAAAACGTTCTTTTAACGCTAGTTTCTCAAATGAAAGTAAACTATTTCCATCGAGCAAAATAATCTATCTTGATTTTACCTTTGTATTTCAATATTGAAAAAATCACTCCAATTCACCAATTTGACATGATTAATATATATCCGTATCTGGTATCAAAAATTAACTGTATATTTTATGCATGGATAATTTGTATACATATTAATTGTTTTATTCGACCAATTAATGAGCAACATTTATCAGAACAAGATTATTCACAAAATACTAATCATGTTGATGACAGTAATAATTTGATTGGTTGTACAGACTCCGACGGTATTTGGCATGGTTTATTTTCTACATGGATGGAAAATCCAACTTGTTGGTGTACATGTCAACCAGTATCTAGAATGGCTGTTAGTGTATGCGATGGTTGTGATATAAGTAAATCAGCAAATAATAATATAATTAATTTAGACGTGAAGCATCATCATAATAACAGTGATAAAAATTTATTGAAAAATGAATCTTTACTTGAAGTGTCTAATTCATTTGATACTTTTAAAACAAATGGCAATGAAATTAATCAGAAAAGATCAGTTGATAATTATCATGAACATAAAACATTTGCAAGAAATTCTAACTGTAAGTTGATAAGCAAAGTAGAAATTAATTTTTTTTTAAATCTATATTTCGTTTTTTTTCCCAACTTGTTCATTATAGTTTCAAATGTTAAAATTCATTGCAAATTATCAGTTTTAATCATATAAAACGGACATTCATAATTTTAAAAATTTGGCGTGAGTTATTCAACTTTTTAGCCACTTGATTAATAGACGCTCGACTGAAATTAGGATCGTTTTTAAATATTTGACAGTGTTTGCTAAATCTCTTCAGTTGACGTCACTTCATGATGAAAAATTGCGTTTAAATTACATAAAATCTATTATACAGTCGTTGTAACAACTAACTTTACAACAAATTTTCACAACTTCTAGTTTAAGTAAAACGTTACAATTAGAAATGTAAAGCACACAAAACATTTACAAAATACAAACAAATTACTATTCAGTCTATTCAGGCTTATAAAGATTCTCTACAGAAAAGCAATTCTTTATGAAACTAATTTTTGAATCAACATTATAGTTAATAGTCTGATTCATATTACTGCTTGCTGGTTATCTTTAGTGAAACTATCCGATACAGAAAGGAAGGAAACAATAAAATTTATCCCTTTTATTTTGTTTATGTTCAGAATATTTCATAAGGCAATATTTATTCAAACATTATGCTTTCAGATAAATCCATAATTAAAACAAAAACAATTCTTCAAATAACAAATCACGAAATGTTATCAATTAAATAATGAATCCTTCTTCATAATGCTACGTACTTAGATCTATGTGGTTTAATCGAAAAGCTTTCGTTATCCTGTTCATAATGAACAAAATAATAACTGTACAATTAAACAATCTATCTCATATCATGTTAAAATCACCAAAGTTTGTCAGTATCGTGAATTTTCGTCAGTTCATCATTTCTCTTTAGGTCTTTCAGTTTACCTAGTGACATTATTTTTTCTATCTATTAGATAAGTCGGAATTTAGATTCATTTTTGCAAAAAGTATTTAACTTTATTGCCTAACCATAATGCCAGTAAAAGGTTATTCTTTCATTTATGTAAGACATTTTCACAAGCGCAAATCGGTACTTTTCAACTGATTAGGCGACTAAAACAAATAAGTCGAAAATCGATTATTTATCCGTTATCATAAAATTGTCAATGACAGTAAACTAACCAAGTATTGTTTATATTGTAAAAGATTTCAAGTTAGAAATTAGATGATTTTTTACGAGTGAAATCTTGATGTCCGTTAGACAATAATTTGTGATCGATTCTAAAATTTTATCTGAGGGATTGGTTGTAGTTTGGAATACCTAGTTTTTAGACTGATGCTAGTGTTCAAACTTGCCCATAGTCGGGAGTTCACTTTGAAAATTTATTTATCACAATACTTGTTGATCAGTGTTCATGATGATGGTATATGCAACTCTTTTCATGTATTTTGAACTTTTCAGTAATATAGTATTTTGTATTGTATCATTTATTATTGCTTACTTAATGGCAAACTTCCGTTATTTATTTGAGTGATTGAAAGAAGCTAATTAACTGAAAATTTCACATCGATAAATTTCACAGATTGAGCATTTTTTTTAAAATCATAGTTTCAATTTATTGTCCAAGTCTAAATTTTAGATAAAAGTGAACCGACTGTAAAGGATTCGCTATAACCGGCTTTAATAACAGTCTAGAACTGCTACATAACAAAGCGATAACATGTAATCAAATGACCTTCAGATCGCACTTCAAGATAAAAACATGGACAACAAAACCAACCTCAGTTCGATTTTTCAATAGCTCATAGGGTTTGGACTCTGTGGCACGTCTTTAGATACTGCTTTTTGAAGTAAATACACTATTTAAGATAATAAGATTATTAGTTACGGACAGTCCTTGAATTCCAGTGTTGATGAAAACATTAAAAATGAATCTTCTATGTTTATGGACATTGATTTAGAATCTGAATGATTCCTAATGAACGGAATTTATGAAAACTTTCTGAGCTCATTATTTTGAGGAAATATTTTGGGTGAGAAAAACAGTCCTTAAAGCTGTTGACAGATGATAAAAAGACCAAGCTAGCTCAAATTTCAAGTTTCTTTGGAAGGGTCGTCACCGTTGGTTACGTTAGCTCGTTTATTTATTGAGCAGAATATGCCGTTGCATTTTGAATTGTACTTGTTCACATAGTTTCGTCGTGATATTATGAAGATAAACTGAAACTGTCAGTGTAAGATTTCCATTTCACTAAAAAACAGAAAAATAGTGTACAATTAATCAATTATTTTCTCTAGTTTAGATGTTGAAAATCGAATACATATTCAGGTTTCAAGAAATGAACTCACACAACAATGAAGGTGCTACAAAAGAATTTGGTCAAAATCTTAAACCTATCACTTATTTAGTTTATGATATATCACATTCTGTCATCTTTTTCAGTTGTGAAATATTCAAAAGTGGAAGCTACATAATCATTGTTGATAAATTCTAAACTGATTTTGAAAAAAACAAGTCTTATAATTTTTTTGATTCAGAGCAGAAATATATGAATAAACACAGTACACTATTCATCGTAATGTTTAGTTTTATCAATATGTATAGAAAGTAACCACAAGGTATCACAACATTAATTTGATATTATAAGCCCACCATGAGTATTCCTCAGTAAACAGTTAGTTTCATGAATTATTGACAACACTATTGTAAATATGATAGTGATTTAATTCTGGCATCTTAACAAAAAAATGCTACTGACTGATATGATTTTGCGACCAAGAAACATTTCATCGTTACTGTATAGTTCGATAAAGAAATTCAAACCTCCTAGTAATCATGATGGCAGGAGCTTTCAAAGTCTCCGAAATAGAAATTGTTCCATTTTTACATGTATTAACTTTCAAAGCACTATTTTGTGTAGGTAAATAATTTTGAAAAGTAGTCTAAAATAACTATTCATCTATGCACTATAACTTTATTTATTATTATTAAATGTTCAAGTTTCTTATTAACATAACCGATAATGTAAGAGAACAGTTAGGCCAACAATTCGATATATTTTCCTATATGTCATATTACCATGTCAAAGTAAAGGATTTTTGCTTCAAGAACTAGATAAAGGTCGTTACGAAATTAAGGTAACTGGCTCGTAGTCACATTCAAGAAAGCATTCCTAAAACATACTGCTACCTCAGAAATCTGTTATGATTAAATTCAATAAAGTTTTACTTCTTCCGACGTTCTTCATGTTTCTGCTAAATGAATATTCAGAACTAAACATAATTAGCATGTTAAAATTGAAATCATATACGTCCTATGAGAATATATCGATGTTTTGTTAAATAAGCAGTATATTCAACTTCAATGTAGAATGTTTTCACTCCATGAAATTCACTGCTCCTTAATTAATTACATTTACTGCTATTCCCATGAAATCGATTGGCCTGATGATTTTAAATTAAGCAATCATGCCGAAAAGCCATGAAATATGCTGTGAGTTGAACAGTTTCACAATAGTATTTTTCCACATGACCTTGCACATAGCCTTTCTACGGGATACTAGAAAGCTCAACCATTTCAGGATAGCCCTCAGCAATAGGTTCCAGGCTTTTCACGATCTACTCAATGAAAAGGAAACCAAAATGGCAAACCATTGAAAACGGATCAAGTAGGTAATCACTTCAACATATCTTGAGGTTCTGCGCTACAAGAAGTACCAGCCCAAGGAATGGATCTCTGTCAGTACTCTGGATAAGATTCGAGAAAGGAAGTACAAGAAGGCAGCAGTCAACATCAGCCAAACAAGAACGAGAAAAGCCACGGCATAAACTGAATACATAGAAGCAAACAAACAAGTGAAGAAGAGCATCAGAGAATCAGATGTAGCAATGAATGTGGAAAAGGCTACAAGCGAAAGAAACTTGACACAGTTGTAAGATACAACGAAGAAGCTCACTGGATTGTATCGTAAACTAGAACGACCAGTGAAAAAAAAGGAAGGTAAAGTAATCAGCAACATTGAATAACAGCGTGACAGGTGGGTAGAGCACTTTGAGGAATTCCTGAATCGCCTAGCCCCAACGAACCCACCCAACATCGAAGCGGCATCCTCGGATCTCCCAAACAATGTTGAAACTCTAAACAACTATCATCAAAAACCAAAATCAGAATTTTCAATACAAATATCAAAACAGTTCTACTGTATGTGACGAAAACGTATCGAAACACGAAGGCCATCATTCGGAATATACAAGTATTAATTAACAGTTGTTTACATAAAATACTTTGGATCCGTTGGCGGGACACAATCAGTAGTAGCCTACTGTGGGAGAGAACAAACCATACTCCAGTTGAGGAGGAAATGAAGAAGAAGCTGTGGAAATGGACAGGACACACACTGAGAGAATTACCCAACTGCATCACAAGACAAATCCTCACTTGGAACCCTCAAGGGCAAAGGAGAAGAAGAAGACGAAATAAGACATTATGCCGAGGAATGGAGACAGACACGAAAATAATGAGCAATATTTAGACAGAACTAGAAAGTCAGGCTTTGGACAGAGTAGAGTAGAGAGTGGTGGTCTGCGGCCCATGCTCCGTTGGGGGGTAACAGGCTTAAGTTAGTAAGATAGTCGTCGAAGGCCGGTCGGGCCTTCTGTATCCTAGCCGAGATCTGAAACAAAAGTATTAAAGAAATCGATCATTTGTAAACAAGTTGTAAATCGTGTATAACAGCCAAATGAACTTCAGTTTAAAATTTTTTTCGCACCATCTACTAACAAGCATTTATTGATAATCACTAATCCTTACCAGGATTTGAAGTAAACTTAATTTCGAGTAAATTGCATAACCTCAAATAAATTGAAATGTTTTAAAAAATTCGGTTATAGTAACTTGAATTCGTACTTTTTCTAGTGAGTCATACTTCAGATCGATCAATGTGCTACAAGCAAAGTTTGGTAGCTTTAATTTATTTATAATCTCATAAATTAATTTTAAAATATTACAATCCTATTAATTAAAAAAT